TCACAGAGGTACATTTCGGACTCCTTACCTCTTCCGGTTCCCAAATTAGGTCCATTTGATGTTCCTCCCTTGGATTGAGACCGTTTCACTCATGTTTGTCCTCATAGTCATGTGTAGAACCTATTAATCCATGTTTGGATAAGTATGGGTCCATCTAGTTCATCTTATACACTACAAGTGAGTTTCCACAATGTGGAGTCACAGAGGTACATTTCGGACTCCTTACCTCTTCCGGTTCCCAAATTAGGTCCATTTGATGTTCCTCCCTTGGATTGAGACCGTTTCACTCATGTTTGTCCTCATAGTCATGTGTAGAACCTATTAATCCATGTTTGGATAAGTATGGGTCCATCTAGTTCATCTTATACACTACAAGTGAGTTTCCACAATGTGGAGTCACAGAGGTACATTTCGGACTCCTTACCTCTTCCGGTTCCCAAATTAGGTCCATTTGATGTTCCTCCCTTGGATTGAGACCGTTTCACTCATGTTTGTCCTCATAGTCATGTGTAGAACCTATTAATCCATGTTTGGTAAGTATGGGTCCATCTAGTTCATCTTATACACTACAAGTGAGTTTCCACAATGTGGAGTCACAGAGGTACATTTCGGACTCCTTACCTCTTCCGGTTCCCAAATTAGGTCCATTTGATGTTCCTCCCTTGGATTGAGACCGTTTCACTCATGTTTGTCCTCATAGTCATGTGTAGAACCTATTAATCCATGTTTGGGTAAGTATGGGTCCATCTAGTTCATCTTATACACTACAAGTGAGTTTCCACAATGTGGAGTCACAGAGGTACATTTCGGACTCCTTACCTCTTCCGGTTCCCAAATTAGGTCCATTTGATGTTCCTCCCTTGGATTGAGACCGTTTCACTCATGTTTGTCCTCATAGTCATGTGTAGAACCTATTAATCCATGTTTGGTAAGTATGGGTCCATCTAGTTCATCTTATACACTACAAGTGAGTTTCCACAATGTGGAGTCACAGAGGTACATTTCGGACTCCTTACCTCTTCCGGTTCCCAAATTAGGTCCATTTGATGTTCCTCCCTTGGATTGAGACCGTTTCACTCATGTTTGTCCTCATAGTCATGTGTAGAACCTATTAATCCATGTTTGGTAAGTATGGGTCCATCTAGTTCATCTTATACACTACAAGTGAGTTTCCACAATGTGGAGTCACAGAGGTACATTTCGGACTCCTTACCTCTTCCGGTTCCCAAATTAGGTCCATTTGATGTTCCTCCCTTGGATTGAGACCGTTTCACTCATGTTTGTCCTCATAGTCATGTGTAGAACCTATTAATCCATGTTTGGTAAGTATGGGTCCATCTAGTTCATCTTATACACTACAAGTGAGTTTCCACAATGTGGAGTCACAGAGGTACATTTCGGACTCCTTACCTCTTCCGGTTCCCAAATTAGGTCCATTTGATGTTCCTCCCTTGGATTGAGACCGTTTCACTCATGTTTGTCCTCATAGTCATGTGTAGAACCTATTAATCCATGTTTGGTAAGTATGGGTCCATCTAGTTCATCTTATACACTACAAGTGAGTTTCCACAATGTGGAGTCACAGAGGTACATTTCGGACTCCTTACCTCTTCCGGTTCCCAAATTAGGTCCATTTGATGTTCCTCCCTTGGATTGAGACCGTTTCACTCATGTTTGTCCTCATAGTCATGTGTAGAACCTATTAATCCATGTTTGGATAAGTATGGGTCCATCTAGTTCATCTTATACACTACAAGTGAGTTTCCACAATGTGGAGTCACAGAGGTACATTTCGGACTCCTTACCTCTTCCGGTTCCCAAATTAGGTCCATTTGATGTTCCTCCCTTGGATTGAGACCGTTTCACTCATGTTTGTCCTCATAGTCATGTGTAGAACCTATTAATCCATGTTTGGGATAAGTATGGGTCCATCTAGTTCATCTTATACACTACAAGTGAGTTTCCACAATGTGGAGTCACAGAGGTACATTTCGGACTCCTTACCTCTTCCGGTTCCCAAATTAGGTCCATTTGATGTTCCTCCCTTGGATTGAGACCGTTTCACTCATGTTTGTCCTCATAGTCATGTGTAGAACCTATTAATCCATGTTTGGTAAGTATGGGTCCATCTAGTTCATCTTATACACTACAAGTGAGTTTCCACAATGTGGAGTCACAGAGGTACATTTCGGACTCCTTACCTCTTCCGGTTCCCAAATTAGGTCCATTTGATGTTCCTCCCTTGGATTGAGACCGTTTCACTCATGTTTGTCCTCATAGTCATGTGTAGAACCTATTAATCCATGTTTGGGTAAGTATGGGTCCATCTAGTTCATCTTATACACTACAAGTGAGTTTCCACAATGTGGAGTCACAGAGGTACATTTCGGACTCCTTACCTCTTCCGGTTCCCAAATTAGGTCCATTTGATGTTCCTCCCTTGGATTGAGACCGTTTCACTCATGTTTGTCCTCATAGTCATGTGTAGAACCTATTAATCCATGTTTGGGTAAGTATGGGTCCATCTAGTTCATCTTATACACTACAAGTGAGTTTCCACAATGTGGAGTCACAGAGGTACATTTCGGACTCCTTACCTCTTCCGGTTCCCAAATTAGGTCCATTTGATGTTCCTCCCTTGGATTGAGACCGTTTCACTCATGTTTGTCCTCATAGTCATGTGTAGAACCTATTAATCCATGTTTGGTAAGTATGGGTCCATCTAGTTCATCTTATACACTACAAGTGAGTTTCCACAATGTGGAGTCACAGAGGTACATTTCGGACTCCTTACCTCTTCCGGTTCCCAAATTAGGTCCATTTGATGTTCCTCCCTTGGATTGAGACCGTTTCACTCATGTTTGTCCTCATAGTCATGTGTAGAACCTATTAATCCATGTTTGGGTAAGTATGGGTCCATCTAGTTCATCTTATACACTACAAGTGAGTTTCCACAATGTGGAGTCACAGAGGTACATTTCGGACTCCTTACCTCTTCCGGTTCCCAAATTAGGTCCATTTGATGTTCCTCCCTTGGATTGAGACCGTTTCACTCATGTTTGTCCTCATAGTCATGTGTAGAACCTATTAATCCATGTTTGGTAAGTATGGGTCCATCTAGTTCATCTTATACACTACAAGTGAGTTTCCACAATGTGGAGTCACAGAGGTACATTTCGGACTCCTTACCTCTTCCGGTTCCCAAATTAGGTCCATTTGATGTTCCTCCCTTGGATTGAGACCGTTTCACTCATGTTTGTCCTCATAGTCATGTGTAGAACCTATTAATCCATGTTTGGTAAGTATGGGTCCATCTAGTTCATCTTATACACTACAAGTGAGTTTCCACAATGTGGAGTCACAGAGGTACATTTCGGACTCCTTACCTCTTCCGGTTCCCAAATTAGGTCCATTTGATGTTCCTCCCTTGGATTGAGACCGTTTCACTCATGTTTGTCCTCATAGTCATGTGTAGAACCTATTAATCCATGTTTGGGATAAGTATGGGTCCATCTAGTTCATCTTATACACTACAAGTGAGTTTCCACAATGTGGAGTCACAGAGGTACATTTCGGACTCCTTACCTCTTCCGGTTCCCAAATTAGGTCCATTTGATGTTCCTCCCTTGGATTGAGACCGTTTCACTCATGTTTGTCCTCATAGTCATGTGTAGAACCTATTAATCCATGTTTGGGTAAGTATGGGTCCATCTAGTTCATCTTATACACTACAAGTGAGTTTCCACAATGTGGAGTCACAGAGGTACATTTCGGACTCCTTACCTCTTCCGGTTCCCAAATTAGGTCCATTTGATGTTCCTCCCTTGGATTGAGACCGTTTCACTCATGTTTGTCCTCATAGTCATGTGTAGAACCTATTAATCCATGTTTGGGTAAGTATGGGTCCATCTAGTTCATCTTATACACTACAAGTGAGTTTCCACAATGTGGAGTCACAGAGGTACATTTCGGACTCCTTACCTCTTCCGGTTCCCAAATTAGGTCCATTTGATGTTCCTCCCTTGGATTGAGACCGTTTCACTCATGTTTGTCCTCATAGTCATGTGTAGAACCTATTAATCCATGTTTGGGTAAGTATGGGTCCATCTAGTTCATCTTATACACTACAAGTGAGTTTCCACAATGTGGAGTCACAGAGGTACATTTCGGACTCCTTACCTCTTCCGGTTCCCAAATTAGGTCCATTTGATGTTCCTCCCTTGGATTGAGACCGTTTCACTCATGTTTGTCCTCATAGTCATGTGTAGAACCTATTAATCCATGTTTGGGTAAGTATGGGTCCATCTAGTTCATCTTATACACTACAAGTGAGTTTCCACAATGTGGAGTCACAGAGGTACATTTCGGACTCCTTACCTCTTCCGGTTCCCAAATTAGGTCCATTTGATGTTCCTCCCTTGGATTGAGACCGTTTCACTCATGTTTGTCCTCATAGTCATGTGTAGAACCTATTAATCCATGTTTGGGTAAGTATGGGTCCATCTAGTTCATCTTATACACTACAAGTGAGTTTCCACAATGTGGAGTCACAGAGGTACATTTCGGACTCCTTACCTCTTCCGGTTCCCAAATTAGGTCCATTTGATGTTCCTCCCTTGGATTGAGACCGTTTCACTCATGTTTGTCCTCATAGTCATGTGTAGAACCTATTAATCCATGTTTGGTAAGTATGGGTCCATCTAGTTCATCTTATACACTACAAGTGAGTTTCCACAATGTGGAGTCACAGAGGTACATTTCGGACTCCTTACCTCTTCCGGTTCCCAAATTAGGTCCATTTGATGTTCCTCCCTTGGATTGAGACCGTTTCACTCATGTTTGTCCTCATAGTCATGTGTAGAACCTATTAATCCATGTTTGGATAAGTATGGGTCCATCTAGTTCATCTTATACACTACAAGTGAGTTTCCACAATGTGGAGTCACAGAGGTACATTTCGGACTCCTTACCTCTTCCGGTTCCCAAATTAGGTCCATTTGATGTTCCTCCCTTGGATTGAGACCGTTTCACTCATGTTTGTCCTCATAGTCAGGGGAGAACCGAGAATCCAGGGGGAGAAGGAGGGGGCCAGCGAGGGCATCGGAGACACGACAAGGAGGGGCCACAAGGGAGGCACAGAGGACAGGGCGGACGCCGGACCGCGGGGCCCAAAGGAGGGCCAGGGAGGGCCGCCCGGGAGGGAGACCGGGGCACGCAGGGGGCCGCAGAGGCAGGGGGAGAACGAGGAAGCCAGGGGGGAAGGAGGGGGCCAGCGAGGGCAGCGGAGACACGACAAGGGAGGGGCCACAAGGGGGAGGCACAGAGGGACAGGGCGGACGCCGGACCGCGGCCGGGGCCCAAAGGAGGGCCAGGGGAGGGGCCGCCCGGGGAGGGAGACCGGGGCACGCAGGGGGCCGCAGGCAGGGGGAGAACCGAGGAAGCCAGGGGGGGAAGGAGGGGGCCAGCGAGGGCAGCGGAGACACGACAAGGGAGGGGCCACAAGGGGGAGGCACAGAGGGACAGGGCGGACGCCGGACCGCGGCCGGGGCCCAAAGGAGGGCCAGGGGAGGGGCCGCCCGGGGAGGGAGACCGGGGCACGCAGGGGGGCCGCAGAGGGGGGAGAACCGAGGAAGCCAGGGGGAGAAGGAGGGGCCAGCGAGGGCAGCGGAGACACGACAAGGGAGGGGCCACAAGGGGAGGCACAGAGGGACAGGGCGGACGCCGGACCGCGGCCGGGGCCCAAAGGAGGGCCAGGGGAGGGGCCGCCCGGGGAGGGAGACCGGGGCACGCAGGGGGGCCGCAGAGGCAGGGGAGAACCGAGGAAGCCAGGGGGGAAGGAGGGGGCCAGCGAGGGCAGCGGAGACACGACAAGGGAGGGGCCACAAGGGGAGGCACAGAGGGACAGGGCGGACGCCGGACCGCGGCCGGGGCCCAAAGGAGGGCCAGGGGAGGGGCCGCCGGGGAGGGAGACCGGGGCACGCAGGGGGGCCGCAGAGGCAGGGGGAGAACCGAGGAAGCCAGGGGGAAGGAGGGGGCCAGCGAGGGCAGCGGAGACACGACAAGGGAGGGGCCACAAGGGGAGGCACAGAGGGACAGGGCGGACGCCGGACCGCGGCCGGGGCCCAAAGGAGGGCCAGGGGAGGGGCCGCCCGGGGAGGGAGACCGGGGCACGCAGGGGGGCCGCAGAGGCAGGGGAGAACCGAGGAAGCCAGGGGGGAAGGAGGGGGCCAGCGAGGGCAGCGGAGACACGACAAGGGAGGGGCCACAAGGGGAGGCACAGAGGGACAGGGCGGACGCCGGACCGCGGCCGGGGCCCAAAGGAGGGCCAGGGGAGGGGCCGCCCGGGGAGGGAGACCGGGGCACGCAGGGGGGCCGCAGAGGCAGGGGGAGAACCGAGGAAGCCAGGGGGGGAAGGAGGGGGCCAGCGAGGGCAGCGGAGACACGACAAGGGAGGGGCCACAAGGGGGAGGCACAGAGGGACAGGGCGGACGCCGGACCGCGGCCGGGGCCCAAAGGAGGGCCAGGGGAGGGGCCGCCCGGGGAGGGAGACCGGGGCACGCAGGGGGCCGCAGAGGCAGGGGGAGAACCGAGGAAGCCAGGGGGGGAAGGAGGGGGCCAGCGAGGGCAGCGGAGACACGACAAGGGAGGGGCCACAAGGGGGAGGCACAGAGGGACAGGGCGGACGCCGGACCGCGGCCGGGGCCCAAAGGAGGGCCAGGGGAGGGGCCGCCCGGGGAGGGAGACCGGGGCACGCAGGGGGGGCCGCAGAGGCAGGGGAGAACCGAGGAAGCCAGGGGGGAAGGAGGGGGCCAGCGAGGGCAGCGGAGACACGACAAGGGAGGGGCCACAAGGGGGAGGCACAGAGGGACAGGGCGGACGCCGGACCGCGGCCGGGGCCCAAAGGAGGGCCAGGGGAGGGGCCGCCCGGGGAGGGAGACCGGGGCACGCAGGGGGCCGCAGAGGCAGGGGGAGAACCGAGGAAGCCAGGGGGGGAAGGAGGGGGCCAGCGAGGGCAGCGGAGACACGACAAGGGAGGGGCCACAAGGGGAGGCACAGAGGGACAGGGCGGACGCCGACCGCGGCCGGGCCCAAAGGAGGGCCAGGGGAGGGGCCGCCCGGGGAGGGAGACCGGGGCACGCAGGGGGCCGCAGAGGCAGGGGGAGAACCGAGGAAGCCAGGGGGAGAAGGAGGGGGCCAGCGAGGGCAGCGGAGACACGACAAGGGAGGGCCACAAGGGGAGGCACAGAGGGACAGGGCGGACGCCGGACCGCGGCCGGGCCCAAAGGAGGGCCAGGGGAGGGGCCGCCCGGGGAGGGAGACCGGGGCACGCAGGGGGCCGCAGAGGCAGGGGGAGAACCGAGGAAGCCAGTGGGGGAAGGAGGGGGCCAGCGAGGGCAGCGGAGACACGACAAGGAGGGGCCACAAGGGGGGCACAGAGGGACAGGGCGGACGCCGGACCGGCGGCCGGGGCCCAAAGGAGGGCCAGGGGATGGCCGCCCGGGAGGGAGACCGGGCACGCAGGGGGGGCCGCAGAGGCAGGGGGAGAACCGAGGAAGCCAGGGGGGAAGGAGGGGGCCAGCGAGGGCAGCGGAGACACGACAAGGGAGGGGCCCAAGGGGAGGCACGAGGGACAGGGCGGACGCCGGACCGCGGCCGGGCCCAAAGGAGGGCCAGGGGAGGGGCCGCCCGGGGAGGAGACCGGGCACGCAGGGGGGCCGCAGAGGCAGGGGAGAACCGAGGAGCCAGGGGGAGAAGGAGGGGGCCAGCGAGGGCAGCGGAGACACGACAAGGGAGGGGCCACAAGGGGAGGCACAGAGGGACAGGGCGGACGCCGGACCGCGGCCGGGGCCCAAGGAGGGCCAGGGAGGGGCCGCCGGGAGGGAGACCGGGGCACGCAGGGGGCCGCAGAGGCAGGGGGAGAACCGAGGAAGCCAGGGGGGAAGGAGGGGGGGCCAGCGAGGCAGCGGACACGACAAGGGGAGGGGCACAAGGGAGGCACAGAGGGACAGGGGCGGACGCCGGACCGCGGCCGGGGCCCAAAGGAGGGCCAGGGAGGGGCCGCCCGGGAGGGAGACCGGGGCACGCAGGGGGGGCCGCAGAGGCAGGGGGAGAACCGAGGAAGCCAGGGGGGGAAGGAGGGGCCAGCGAGGGCAGCGGAGACACGACAAGG